CTTTGTTTTTTATTTTGATTCTACTCAGAACTATTAAGCAGTAAATTTCATGCTTGTATATATATAGTCTAGAATTTTATCTTTTGTAACCTTGATATGGTAATTAGAAATTGTTCTAAATTTATTTACAATTAGATTTATATCACTTCTCTGACAATTGTCTATCTTGATATAGTAGTCAGAGATTGTCCTGACAAGAATTTATTTACGATTAGGTCTATGCCTCTTACAATTGTCTACTTTGATATAGTAGTCAAGATTGTTTTGACAAGAATTTATTTACTATTAGACTATATTGTTTCTTTGACAATTATCTACCTTGATATAGTAATTTGTAATTGTTCTGACAAGAGCTTATTTACTATTAAATCTGTTATTTCTCTGAACAATTATCTAGCACCCAAAATTATCGAATAAATAATTGTCAAGCAATATATAGCACTATTCATCATTTCATGCATAGTAATGATATCATTATTATTAGATTAAGTAGTAAAGCTTATCATTATAGAATAGAAAAAACAAAAGAACATTTTTGTAATTTTTTTATTTAAATATAGCATATAATTTTGTAATTGAGTAAATAAAAGATTTAACAAAAGTTTATTAATAAAATTTAGATATATATGAATAAACTTTCAAGAAAATACATATTCATAGGTCGATTAAATCCAGGAAGTAAACAATTTAAACAGATTCGAAGTTTGTACAAATATAAGCAACTAAAAATGTTGTATAAAATTAAAAATAATCCTAGTACTATACTTAATCACACAATTCTGGTATTTGTACAACTAAATAATAATGATTTTAATAATACAATAAAACAAATTTGTGAATCTTGGGAAATAAATACTCAAATTCAAAGAAAACGTAATGATATAATTATTCAAATCTGTAACCTACCAGATTAGCAAGTACTCAATATATCTACTATCTTTTAAACAATGACTTATTCTTGAAGAATTCATAAAGATAAAATAATTTCTACACATCTACAAAAAAAGGCTCTCAAGTTTGTTGATTCTGGTTTTAATAAACATCACTATACTATTAATGCATTAGAATCGAGATCCAAATTTTTAAAAAAAGAAATTCGCTATTTAAATAAAAATAGATTATTCTTGAATACTAAAGTTCACTCATTTTCAATACAATTAGTAAAGCAAACTAATCGAAAAAAAAACAAATTTCAAAAATTTGAGCTGCAATTCAAAAAGTAAAGCAAATTAAGCCTACTCAATTTCGAAATGCTGTTAATAAATTATTTAAAGTTAACAATAAAAAATATAGCACAGAATTTGTAAACTAGCTACTGATATTAGTACTATAGGATATACTTCTATTCGTATAATAGTAGAATGCACTAAAGCTATTTTTTAATTTTTAATGGGAGAGTCTCCACTACAGTAGGTTGCACTATCTACTTTGGCGAGGTAGAATAAAGAAGTAGTGGCTTTGTCTTTTAGTCAAAATTGTTCTAAAAAAAATTCATCTTAGTTTTTTGGATATGGTGTTATGGTTGATTAAAGTATACGAGGTGAAAAAAAAGTATTAATTATATATTTTTCTTATTGAAATAATATTAAAGAGGAGCCCGTAATTACAGTAGCAAAATTAACAGACCTAACACATTGTAATGCTAGAACCGTTTCAGCTGCTATATTTGAAATATGCTAGCATAATGGAATTGATCCTAAAAAATGTCACTTTTGGCTAACAGACAATACTGCTTATATGTTTTCAGAGGCTTATAATGCAACTGCTGAATTTAATTTATTAGTAGTATCTAAATCATTTCAGATTCCTTGTAGATTATATGCAGTTCAAATCGCTTTAATGAATTTTGAAAATACAATATTTAGAAAATTAGATGGTGTTAAAGAGTTGTTATTAAAAAAACATCTATATAACTTACTTAACCTTGCCTTTCATCTTCATGATAGCTACAATATTTAAGCCTATTAAATTTAAAGTCTGAAACATTATAAAAACTTTATAAGATTTTATTTGATTTTGAAATAAATAAATATCAACAACCTATTCATCAATGGTGATTGTATGAACTTAAAATAGCCAGGCAGTATTTTGTTAGACGGATGTTCATATTTCTTTCATCCAGTTTTTTGTTAAACAACTTGAAAATACAAAAAATGTATCTAAAATATATTTGCATAAATAAAAAATCTTTCTTGAGTGGCTTACTAATAAACAAATTAATCTTCAACTACAGTATCTTGTTAAATTCAGGCAAGAATTTTATAATCTATTTATAAGTTCATAACTGATTATGATCCAATATTACGAATTTATAATAAAAATTAAAAAGTAATACTTCCACCAGAAAATCATGCTCATGAAATGCCAGATAAAATAGCAATTTGGATTAAAGACCTTCAAAACTGCTTAGATAATATATATGAATTATTTGGTGAAGAATTGGCTGATGCTAAGCAAGAATTAAATACAGCAGATTTTGAAAATTTTTATAAATTATTATATGATAGTGTAGAAAATGCATTAAATAGTTTTATTAAATAGATAGAAACTTGGGTTCACTTACTATTATATATTTGTCGATTAGGTGGAAAAAATGGATCTGAATTTGTTTGTGCATTCTTAAAGGTTTTTTTTCCTGGAGCTCTTCAAAAGAATAATCTATAACAGAGAGTTCATATATTAAAAGTTTAAAATTAGACTTATCTAATAGACATATAATAGCATTTGGATTGTTAGAAGAACTAAACTATTCAAACTTTTTCGAAGAATTTAAAGCTTTTGCAAATTCTGATATAATGGAACCAGAAAAATTTCCTCTTGTATATGAATTTCCTTTTTTTTTTTTTTTGGTGTTAAGGTGGCCCCTTGGCCAGCTCCTTTTATTCGGTTATAGTTAACTTTTACAATATGCGTTTATAGCATCTCGTATACATATTTGGAG